TATTGTTGTTGCTGTTGTTGGTAATACGATATTTTGAATACTTTGCCGAACGCAAAGGCTAATAGAATAATTCGTTAATGCATTTGAAGGACTTGCAGCGAGTTCGGCTGAGGGAGAGTAAAGGAAAACGACRCACGAGCGAACGATAGAGGGTTGCATAAACATGTATACAAACATGAATACATACATACATACGCACAGATATATTTTCGTAAAAGTTGAGTTGGGTGTTGCTGAAGAGTTAGCGGCGCATAGATCAGCATATACAGACATACCAACGTAAGTTAGCCTCTAGCTTTGCTTTTGCATTCTAGATGCTTATCGGCCGCTTTGCTTTTGYGTCGAAAATTGCTGCGAAATTAGTTTAGTGCTATACATCACTCTTATCAGCGGCTTTTTATCTTATCTGTGATGCTGCTGTCTATGTATTTCGTATTCTCTTCCGTTTTGGGCACTATATCTATAGCTGTTTTTGTTGTTGTTAACATATGAGCACATATTTTGTGTATTTATTATGCTGCTTGTTGCACTTTTACAGTTATTCACTAATTTTATTAATTTTTAGGTAGGGCTTGTGAGTACCAAGTGATAGGAAATGCCTGCGAAAGTGCGTGAAGGGACGAAAAATTGTCTATGTTCTTACAAATATGTGTAAATAGATATGTAAATCAGTTTTTTGCAAAGAAAATTCATTATATTGTGAGCACACATGTGTTTATTAACAACCTAATTGCATATAAATATATATAAATATTGGATATATCTTTAATTTCATATATATGTATATAAAGATGTTTGTCATGACCTAACTTACAAAAAAAAAAATACTATTGAAGAAAACGAAATTGTGTTTTTTATTGCTTACGATTTATATGTAGCATTAAATTTTCAGCTGCCGCTGTTAGGTATAACCAATATATAACCGTTATATATCCATCATATAACCATTATATAACCAATATATAACCATTTTCTAACCAAAACTTCAATTTTGTTTCAATATAAGATATAATAGAAACCATATCGTTTTTCCCTCGCCTGTAAACTTATGAAAAGTGATGATATGTTATTTTGCATTTTAGATGACRATATATAGATTTGTTAATGGATTATAGATATTTTGAAAAACATATTTACATTTATAAATATATACAAAACACATTAACTACTTACATGGATGCGTTGCTGCGAACGGATAATCCAGTGTTGGCAAGCGCGMTGGATGCGGTCCACATGGATGCAGCGATGGCGGACACTGATAGCAGAACATGCCTCTTCCCGCGGCAGCAGGACCAAGCTGCAAGGAGATGACGTAGATATGTTCTTTATAGATAAAGATATTTATTTTGAGTATTTGTAGGAATATATATATTTGTAGTTAGAGTTAAACGCAAAAGTAATGGTATAATTCTTAACAAAAAGAAATATTATAAATGATAAAAAAAATTATATTGTTTTTTTTTAAGAAACATCTTTTAATTTTCATCTTTACAACTAAATTCAGCACATTTTTACAATAATTATATAATTTCTKGTATACATTTTAAAGTCATAAGGTGACCTTAGGGTAAGCTGGCTGTCATCTAAGTAAAGCAGGCRCCGTGCCTTACAAGTATTCAAGTGATTCTCGCATTTCAATGTGGTGAGATTTAAAAGTCATGCGGCGACTTCACTGCTAGCTGACTCTATCTRTATGAGAAAAACAGGCACCATACCTGACCTTTATTGCGCCTCGATGTGATGTGAATTCAAAGGTTGTGGACTTGACTAAATGTAAACAAAAACRTCATTAACACGCAATGTAAATAAAGGGGTCACTGACCTCGAATAAATATAAACAAAAGTATTAATGACCCCATGAAATGTAAACAAGGTATTCAGAGATCGCAAGTGTAAACAAAGGTTGTTGTCTTGGCTAAATGTAAACAAAAAGTTCGAATGTAAATAAAATGGTCAGCGACCTCAAATTTGAAAAATATTGTTTTATCGGCTAAATATAAGCAAAGGTTGTTGACTCGGGGAAGTATAAGCAAAAGGGTCAATTGAAGACATTAAATGCGAATAGCTACACGCACTAAACTCTACTCCAGAAATTAACTTTAACAACTGTTTCGAGGATAAGGAATGGGGCGCGGATGGATTTTAAGCTTCATTTGCCAAAAAAAAAATTAAATTCGGGGTAGTTGAAAAAAGTTACAGGTGTTCAAAAATGAGTGAAAATAAAGAAGAAATTTTTTAATTTGAAATAATTTGAAATTTTTGTACAAAAAAGGGAGGAATGCCACGCAAGCCACAAATAAAATTTGTAAAGTTTACGAAGACGATGCTGTRTCAGTTCGTGTAGTATAACAATGATTCGCTCGCTTCCCTTCTGGAAATTTCTATGTGAAAGATGCACCTTGTCTGTGAAAAATTGAATTGAATTGAACATCCGTGACTTKTTGCTGAAACAAAATATTTCTAAATCGATCCATTTCTGAAGGGAATGATTACAGGAGACGAAAAGTGAATCAAACACGACAATAATGTGCGAAAAAGATTATGATCCAAGCATGGTGAAGCTCAACAAATGGTCGCAAAGCCAGGATTGATGCTTCGAAAATATATGCTGGGTGTTTGGTGGGATTGGAAAAGAATCATCCGATAYGATCTATGAGCTGCTCCGGCCTGTTCGAAGATTGATTCTAGATTTTATTGTCAACAAATGATAAAATTGAAGCAAGTAATCGAAAAATACGCGCAGAAGTGATCAACAGAAAGAGCTTCGTCTTGCAACAGCACAACGCTAGACCACACACATCTTTAATGACTCGGCAAAAACTGGGAAAGCTGGTCTGGGAAATTTTGATGCATCCACCATATACCATTTGTTTCAGTCAATGCAGAACTCTCTTAATGCAACCAACCAAAAYGGTACATAATGGGTTCATTAAAGTTCATTATAAATATAAAAAATAAGTTGAAGTCGAAATACGAAACGACTTTTTCGACTATCAAATATCATGTAATCCACTCCATTTTTAAAGTACGCAAAAATGTTACAGRTCAGTTTAAAATCATTAATATATATAAATATGTATTATATTTCGCGCATATGTAAAAGTAAATATAAACCGTGGTACCAGTATATATACATATGTATATGCAAATTAGAATATGTAGTGCATTTTACCAGAACATAAGTATGATCTAATAGAGATTATCAGCGGCAGACAATCTTTATAACAAACATATGCCCGCTTTTTCTCTCACCACTTCATACACGCATACAATAATGCTTATAGTAAATAGACATGTATGAAGAATTGAATTTACCGCACATACAATGAACATAAATTAAAAATTTCAATCACGCATTCGTTTGAACGAATAATTTGAATTCAATTCAATTGAAGTAAATTATCAAACGTTCGAATATGAGTAATAACAAACATGCCTCCACACAACTCTAGAACGATACACAAATTCATGCATACATACATATATCATCAGTGAGAAGGAGCGMGAAGGAGCGCGTCCGCTCATTGAAAGTCGTTGGCGCCGTCGCATTGCCGCTGCGCTAACATTGTCAATTGCACCTTTAATTCGATTCAATTAGAGACAATTACCATTATTCGTTCAATGTGAATGCAACTCTGCGTTTGTTTGCTACAACATTGCATTTATTATCCATTGCAATCCAATGCCATGCACACACAYGCAATTCAATATTCAATCGATGCGTCGCAATTTTATTTAATTTTTTCTTAATAGCATTCCATTGAAATCAATTCAATTCGATTTGTTATTGTAAATGGGGAGCATGAAATCTTAAAGATATATGCCTACATAAGAGTATGAAGGTGTGTTAGTACGTAAATTCGATATGGGTGTGCCAGTTATGCAATGCATGTGTGTAGTSTTGTAGGCCACGGTATGCGAGAGATTTGTTTGTGAATTTATGGAACACTGAGATCATCAAGTGTATCGGTACCGAATGTCCTT